GACTTGGTTTACGAAAAATACAGGGTTAGGACCTTTTTTTTATATTTGACTGAAAAGGGATCTAAGTTTTTGCTTGAGGACCTTAATTTTTTAGGTTTATTTTTTAGGGAAATGTGATATCATTTTTTTTATAAAACTGTCCTGGGGCCCCGCCTGGTTCTCGGCGGCCCTGGTGACAAAAACACTCACATAATTCATCACAAATTCTGATCCTCGACAACGTCAAATTTGAAATTTGATAATTCCAAACGCCAACGTTAAATATTCTTATTATGACGGCTGTTAAAAAATAAAGGAACCAGACTGAACGGCACTATACTTTTCCGACATTCAATCAGACAATGAAATCCATTAAAAGGCCACTAACTCGATTTGAAAGAAGCGAACACGCAATTTTGAGAAATGACTTCATTTTTTTGGTAATCACTGGTCGTACCTCGGCCGAGTAGGTACCCGCTCATGAAAATTTAAAACGGTACATTCTTCGGCCGGTAATAATCTAGTATTATTACTCGAAATCCAGTTTAAAATACAATTTCGATGTAAGTACTCTGTTGTTATTTAAAAATATTGGTTTCGTTTTGCGGTTTAAGGGCAATGAAAACAGAAATTATGAGATTATGTAACAACAAAGTTGTAAAGTGAATGAATACAGGGAAAGGCGTCGTTGTACAAAAGAAATATATCTAAAATTAAGAAATTAAATATTGTTACAATTACGTTGACCATGTTTCAACTCTTATGGATGTTAAAAGAGGCGTACCCAACGATCTGTTTTGGGTCGCTATTTGTTATTGCGCTATATTAACGACTTATCAATATTTCATATTTTCTATTAAGATTTTTTATTTGTCAAAATCATATTAATGAATACTGGGGTAGTTAAATTACTGAAAATTCCAATATGGTCGCTATAAAAAATAAAAAATAATGTTTTCAGTCGTTTTATAAAAATAATTGCAATGCGACCAGATTTAACCATGCAAACATTTTTATTCGATTGAATTTCGTATTCGTTTTCAAAAAGATTTTGAAACCAATCACACCGTTATATACACTCCTGTTCAAAATTATCGCACCACTAAAAATGTTAATGTTATATTTGTGTTATTGTAATTTTTAGTGAATTTAATATATGGTTAATATGAATAAGGGTAATTGGAATAATTGAAAAATCTTTTAACTTTATAAAAAAATTGATGAATCATAATAACGCGTAATACCTCCTCGAGCTCTTATGACCGCTTGCATTCGTCTGGGCAAGCTTGTTATCAAGTTCTGAATGGTTGCTTGCGGAATGTTTGTCCATTCTAACAGAACATCATGCTCCACTTCTTGCAGGTTGATTGGGGCAAGTACATGACACCTAACTGATTTTTTAGAACAACCCAAAGGTGCTCAATTGGATTCAAATCGGGACTTTGTGGTGGCCACTCTAAGATTTGAATATTAATCTCATTTGGGTAATCTAAGACACGGTCTAGGACGTTTCGACGCGGCCATTTCGACGCAGCCGTTTCGACGCGGCCGTTTCGACGCGAGGACATTTCGACGCCGGCCCTTTCGACGCCGGGCCGTTTCGACGCCAACTGTATTTTTTTTTAGGTAGGTAATAATTCATACAAAATAATATATTTGAAAGGTCTTTTTTAATTTTATTATTAAGAATGCATAATATAATTATGTGATATTGCTTTTAAATATTCGTTTATATTTCTCTTTTTATTATCGATTTTTAAAATCCTCTCGTCACAATCGCGATGTTTTTTTTATTTCGCTGGCGTCTGCTGGCCCAACAGTAATTGTTCATAAAACAAGTCCCTTCCTGTTTGTATCTTTTTAAGTGCGTCAATAAATTTCCATATCGTTAGATGATCTATGGACATTTCGTTTTGAAGTCGTCTTTGTGCAGCTTCGGCGTGGTTGTTCGTTCTGTCTGTACCCTCTAAAACCCGGTTGTAGACAGACCACAATGTGATCGGAAAGGCTGTATTGAGCCTTCTTCGACCCTGTCGTTGAAGACGTCCTACGTATGAGTCCTCGAACCATTCTATTAGAGGTTGAAACTCGTTAGACAATTCTCCAAATAAATGGTCGATTGCAATATCCATGTCTTCTTCAGGAACATTCGTGCAGGAAGACTGAAATCAGCATCGGTATTATATCGACTCAGCAAATTCATTTGCGCCAAATGTTTTTTCATATTTTTCACCAAATTAAAAAAAAAACATTTGGAAACTTCTTTGAAAGCGTTTATGGCACCCAGTTCAAAATCGCATGAAATTTTCTCCGGATTTGCAGCTGGCTGTAAATGTCCCATCATACCAATCATTCGGGCATATGAAGTTTGCCGTTTTTTGGGCAGGAGAGCATAAAGAACAGGATGAACTCCCCCAAATTATTTAGCTATAATTATGTAGGTAAAAAGCAGTTGGTTTAAATGTCCCATCAATAAACCAATGTTTTGAGTCCCGCAAAATCTATAAATACAGGTTGTTCCTAATTCATGCGATAAAATTCAGGAGGTGATTGCTCGTATGAAATTAGGATCCTATAACAAAATTTCCTCAGCCCACGCCTTTCCGAGATATCACCCTTAAAAGGTGGTGACTAAAATTGAGTTTTTATTTTTTTTTTCTAAAATTTCAGTAAAGCTAAAAACTTGAAATTCTGTAATTTTCGTGCACTCGCAAAGGACTAGTCACGGGTATTTTTTTATTATTTCTGTCGTCGACACGTCCCATTCCGTCTAAGACGATGTGAGGCCTTGCATTATCTTGCATGAAAATGAATGTATTCCCTATAAATGGCGCAAACGGCATAACATGGTCTTGAATAATGTTTTCTAGATAGAATTCTGCATTCATAGACCGCGGACGAATGGGGAATAATTCTGTGCGTGCGTCAAAACAAATTCCTCCCCAGAACATTTTTGATCCACCATCAAATGGTTGCCTTGAAGAGATAGTGCAATCACAAAACTTTTCTTCAGGTCTACGCCATTCCCTATCACGACCGTCTGGAGATTCTAGACTTACTCCGGTTTCATCTGTGAACAAAACTCTCTTCCAGTCATCGACAGTCCAATGTGCATGATCTCTGGCGAATCTTAATCTGCGTGATCTGTGATCTACAGTAAGCAATGGTGCAATGATATGTCTTCTGCTAGCCAGTCTGGCTTCTTTTAGTCTTCTCTTGACGGTTAAAGAAGAAATTCTGACATTTCTAACATTTTCAAGTTGATTACTTAGCTCTTTACTTGTACTTGTTCGGTTTCTTAATACCTGTTGTCGGAGAAAGCGCTCATCAATTTGACTTGTGGCATTTTTTCTGCCCTGACCACGCTTTCTAACGTGAGATCCAGTTTCCCTACATTTTCTAACCATTCGACTAACTGTTGAATGATGAACACCTAACAAATTGCCAACATAACGCATACGTTTTCCCACTTCTAGCAAATTTGCAGCTCTTACACATTCATCATGGCGTGCTCGATTCATGTTTTTTTAGCGAATAGGTTAAATATTTTTTGATAAAAGTTAAGATAATCACTCAAACAGCAACTTTAAACATTACACGCACAACACTGGAAAAATTTAAACAAAGTAATTATTATTGTTTTTCTTTTTTCCAAACTAATACAGTATAGTCGCTACAATTCAAAACTGAGAGAATACCTACTTGACATGAGCCACCTATGATTTGTTTACAATAAACGTCAATATTGTCTTAAATAATTAAAATTAATCGGAAATTGTAAGTGGTGCGTTAATTTTGAACAGGAGTTCAGATAAGGGATGGGGTTTTTCAAAAATGTATTAAAGAAAATTAGATTATGAACTTTGAAATAGCACCATTTTGTCTTTTTTTTCTAAGCGGACGTTACAAATTAATTTTTGGTATCCCCCAATTAAACTAACGAACCTATTTAAGTATTTAGTGAAAACCGCATCGGGATATCTTAACCGGTTCAGGAGATACAATTCCTCAAAATATGGAAAAATATAGTGAGATATTTTATTGGTCAGGAAAGTGGTTACTACTACTAAACATCAAAAAGTGTGCTGTATTGCATGTAAAACTAATCCGCAATTTATATACATATACGGACGTATTTTACAATAAATTGGACATGGTGTAATAGGACCACGCATGAAACATACAAAGAATTCTTAATTTAACTTTGTGTACTACGTAGGAAATGTACTTTCTGTGACGTATTTATGATATAAAAAAAACAATTTTTGCCTATTTTCGTGATTGGTAGTGCTAACTTTACCGTGAAGTTAGCAAGTAAGCAAGTTCCCAGGAGTTAATTTGAAAAGGGGAAATTTACAATAAAAGAGCGACAAATTATCCATATACAGTAGACTCTCGATTATCCGACTCTCGATTATCCTACTATTTATTTTCTGATCGCTGGATTATCCGAATTAAGTAATACCGCCGTTGAAATCCGTATTAATCGAGCGACGTCGTGTTATTCGAGTATCAGATCCGTAAATTACGGGAAATCCCAAAATGGGTACAGGGGAATCCCTCCTTATTTTATTCCCATCTGCAGAGAAGAGTTTGTACGTTTCTATAAGTTACAAAGTTACATAGGTATATACAGGAAAAGGCAGCCTCAGATTTTAAACGCAGTAAAGAGATAATTACTGTAATGGCATATGCGGAAGCATCAGGAACACATAAGATGCCACTTATGATCATAAGAAAGTCATAGAGCCATTAAAAACATTTCTCCAAATACCCTTCCAGTTTATTACACAAACCAAAAAAGTACCTGAATGAATACAAAGTTATTTAGTGCATGGTTTAAAGAGCAGTTTGTTCCATTAGTAACGAATTTTTTGGACAAAAAAAAAACTCTCCAGAAAGGCAATTTTACTTCCTGGAGAAGATCCTCGGGTAGGGGATATTACTATTACGTTTTTACCGCCCAACGTCACCAGCATTCTTCAACCTATGGACGTTTGTTACTTCATCATGTGTTACAGATGACAGAAAATAATGAACTTACCGCGATTCTGCGGCAGATTACCTTAAAAGATGTTATCTACTGGCTGAGTCAAGCATCCACAATACAAAAATCCTGGAACAATATCTTGATTCAGGATGATGACACAGAAGACGATTTGCCTATAAATCATCTAGCTGTAAGATTAAGGGATGCGCAAGATGACAGCGATTGTGAGGATGAAATGACTTTGTTTGATTTAATGAAACAAATAAAGGGATGTGAAGATGTTACAGAACAAGATGTTAATCAATGAATTTCTTCTGATGACCTTCAGCAAGAGCTTTCTATAGAAGAAATAGCTGCATCTGAACAAACTCAAGAGGAAGACCTGCTTGACAACGAAGATGAAAAGCAAGAGTTTGTTGGTGAATGCATTTCTAATCAAGACGACTTTGCTGTTTTAAAAAAAGCCTTGCAGTATGTGGAACAGCAACCCGAGTCCACGCCATCCGATGTATTTGGTTTTGTATTTTACTTTAATTGTTCCTTTGTTTGTAAAAATTATTAATAAAATATTTTAAAGCAGTTATTGGCATTTATTCTTAAAGAGTACTAAAAAAAATGCATAAAAATTTTTAAAAAATCCGGATTTTCCGGGCTGCCAATTAATTGATTTAGGGTACTAGCACATATTAGCTAGGATAATCGGGAGTCTACTGTACAAAAATGTAATTTATGCTCATTTACGTGATAGAAGGCTAACTTATTATCAAAATTAGCATTAACTGGGGTTTATTTCAAAAATGGGAGGAGCACAATTTTTTCCACGGCATTTCCAACAAAAAGCAACAAATTATCCACATAAAAAAATTAATTTATGCATATTTTCGTGATCATCAGTGCTAACTTTCCATCAAAATCAGGATTAACTGGGGTTTATTTGAAAAAAAGGATGAGCGATAAAAGTTTCTTTATCAACGACTTAACGACAAAAAAGCGACAACTTCTCCAATATTCAAAAATCCAAAATTTCAAAGTAGTGGTGCTAACTTCGCGTACGGTTATATTTGTGGATTTTTAATAAATTACCAAAAGTACTTAACGTTCACAGGTATGATTATGTAAAAAAAAGACTTGACGCTGGATAAAAAAATGGCATTCGATACCCCCCAACAATCATCCAATATAAAAAGTTAATTACATTTGCAAGGGAACATCAGAACTAATAAAATAAAACTACGTATTCACCATGTGAATGCAACAAGAAGCAAGACAGCGGAACAACGTTTTAACAAATGACTTTCAGATACAATGCAATACATAATGTAAGCAGTACAGAGTGGTCAATGATTCTGGGAACATCAGTATATTCTGCTACTTATTATGTCTCGATTAAGGATGTCTACTGTCGAGAACCTTGTAAATGCATGTAGGAATATAATCTGGTTTCGAACGGAATGTTCCATTATTTGTAGATATATCAGTGTTTACATTAAATTTTATTTCGAATGTCTTCGATCATATAAAGAGAATCATTGGAAAATTCGCATACGTTAGGAGTTTTATAGGGGACATCGATATGGTTCTAAATAACCAATATTTAATGTCTCTGATTCTTTATAAACAAGATACAGGGTAATTTATCCATTTTGCTCATTTTCTCAATCATTCCGAATGACACTGTATATTTTTTCGAATAACGTATAAAGGACATACATATTTAGGAAACATAATATTTTCCTTTCTACACGATGTCACAGGGGTAGGTTTAAGAAGGTTTGAAGGAGCTGAGATGGGATGAGAATTTGTATGCACCAACGAGAATCGGAATTTGATTGACTATAAAATCTACGAATTCGAATATCTATGTGCTTTGGTAGCTCTGCTGGTAAGAGTATGGATGGCTAAAGTCCGAGGTTCTAGGTTCGACTCTTTCTTTCTCAGCTTTTTCAATTTTTCTTTGGGGAATATTCATGTTCACATTTCTAAAATTGCATATTTTTTTCTATTAGGTATTGTCAAGTCAACGCACACTGATCCGTAACGACCGTATTGCATAGACGGAAATTCGTTAAGGATTATTGGACGAGAACTAAAGGAAAGCGTCCATGTGTACGTATCGGAAAGACGCATTTTTTTTGCATAGGCTCATTGCCATTCAGCCAGACACAGATTCGTCCATAATTAGAACTACCCAAGAATATTTCCTAACAGCAAGAGGTGCAAGAAGAAGAAGAAAAAAAAACAACTTATCTCAGGGACACTCGGGACGTTTTTTTTAATAGACAAACAAAATTAAGCCTCGGTAAGTGGGTAAACAAATAGGTATAATACAGAGGAAAGAAGATTAAAATTCCAATCATAGATGAATCTTGGTGTCTCTCAGAAATTGTAAGAGGCAATTGATAATATCATTAGAAAAATGTGTTAAAACTGTTTCAATATTTAAGAGGGATAGAATGTTATATTTTATAAGATTTTTATAAAGTATGTTTGAATGTACTGCGTATTTTTTGCATTCGAAGAAAACGTAATTAACGTCTCCAGTTGTTTTACAAAAGTCACAATTTTCATCTTCTTTTACATTAATTTTAAACAAGTATTTGGGATAACTGGCATGACCAAATCTGGTTCTACTTAAAGATGTAATGTAGTGTCTTGGAAATATATGATTTTAAAACCAGGGTGAGTTTGGAATATGTCTTTGAATTTTAGTGTACTTATTAGAATAACTGGAACAGAATTGTAATCAATCATGCTTCCATTTTCTCATATTGTTAGATTTTTTTCAAGGCAACAATATCTGGGTTACAGATGTTATGACTGGTGTTAGTTCCTTTTTTCATTGCAGATTTTGCTAGCATATCAACATATTTATTGTGTTCAAGTCCAATATGAGCCTTTACCCATATAAAGCATATCTTTACATTATTATTAATTAGTTGGAACAATGCCCTTTTGATCAATAAAATGTATGGATTTGAATTAAAATTTGGAATGTCCAGAGCTACAGCCGATTTTAAAACAGATAAAGAATCTGAAGCAAATAGAGCTGCTTTAGTGTTAGATTCTATTAGAAATTGTAAGGCTTCTAGTATCGCAATCGCTTCTGCAGTGTAACTAGAAAAGTTATCAGGTAGTTCGTAAAGAGCTTTAATATGAAGAGACGGGACGTAGTAAGCGCAACCAGTGCCTGGGTCTGACTTGGATGCATCGGTGTATATAACAGTATGTTTAGGAAAGCTATTTAGGTTAAAAAGGAGTAGATTTGAACAATTATGAGGATTTTCATCATAATTGGGTTGTCTAAGTAAGACTTTGGTAAAAAAAACAAGGAAAGTCGGATGTAATGAAGAATTGGTCGAAAGAACCTAGGGAGTCAAACGCTATCTCACAATTTTGAACAGTTTTACATAACAGCGGTAAGTTTTTATGAACCCAGTATTTATTTGTCAGATCATTTGTATTAAGTTGAATAATTTTAGAAAATAAGGTTGAATTATGTAAGAATGCCTTAAAGAAAATTTTTTTAAATTCGCATGGGCCACAGTAAGAATAAATTCATATTAATTATATTCACTAAAATTAACTTGTATGTATGTTAAATAAGTTTATATTTAATTTCGCAAATTAAACTGTAAAGTTCAATTTGAAACTCACTTTTTTATTGAGCTTTCAACCAAACAATTTATACAGTTACAAAAAGTAGCCCAAAAACTGTATCAAAGCGAAAATTCAGTATATTCAGTATACCAGTGGAAAGTTAGATCAACAAAGTCAAGTAGATGTTGTCCTCACTGATTTAAGTAAAGCCTTTGACTATTGTTCACTAGTCAATAAACTTATCTTTTATGGGTTATCCCCAAATTTAATTTCTCTCTTTCTAAATGGAAGATTTCAGTTTGTTCAATATGAAGGTCTCAAATTAGCTCTATTTTTACTAAAGCCCGGTATATCTCAAGGTTCAATATTAGGCCCTCTTTTCTTTAATATTTTCATTATTGATACACTAGTTTATGCTGATTATATCAAAATATATAAGGAGATATGTTCAAATAATGATTGCAGAGACCTCCACAAATATTTAGAAAGACTTAATGAGTTGTGTGAATCAAATACCTTGCCTTTGAATTCGTCTAAATGTAGTACTATAATATTTAGCAGAAAAGTAAATTAAATAGTATTCGACTACGGTTTAGATAACATTTTAACTAATAGAACTGATCATATTAGTGATCTAGGTGTGATACTTGATTCAAAAGTCTTTTATAAAGGGTTTTTAACCAAAATTGTCTTCTAAATGTCTTAGTTAAATGAATGAATCAATTTTTTATTGTAAAAATAAACACCATTATTTTTTCTACGTCCCTAGGATTGAAAATTTCAAAGCGCTCTATAGTCCATTAATAATAGTTACTAACAAAACGAATACTAACCAAATTACAAATCGTACCCACAGCAACATAAAACGAAGTTAACACAAAAACTTAATATTATAACAAAAATATACTTTACGAAAAAGGGGAAAGTATTGTAGTGACTCAGATACACTACAAACCTTTCTAACTTAACGCGTCACATGCGTCATCCTTTAGGCAACCCTTTAATATGTGGCAGTCCTAGTATATCACAAAGGCTAAACTCATCTCGTTAGCAATTCAAATATGACTAGACAGAATCTGCGCCTGGTCACAGGCATTCTGACTGATCATTGCTAAGTATGGAAGCATCTCCATATCATAGGGCTCTCAGAATCCGCACTCTGTAGAGGGTGCGAACAAGAAGATGATACCATCGAGCCTATCCTTAACGATTGCTTGACGCTCTCATTTATTAGAAGATCTGTGTTCGGCGAGTATCGGCTAACACCGGCCGATATAAGAGAAGCACCTCTTGGCGACGTTGTCAACTACATTAAATCTGTAGGCTGGCTCACAAGCTAGGAGGTGCCTATCATCTTAGGAGCATGCACAATGGGCCTAGTAAGGCCTAAGTGCCGTGAGGGTATCCCACCCTCCACACGTTACAGATACAGCCACAACGCAGCTTCAAACAACTGTCATTCGAGTCTCGGTGTATTTAATACTAAATCTCCATAATAAAAAAGGCAAAGATAATGATAAAAGCCAAATCAAATTATAAACACAAACACTCACTATAAAACGCAAAAACAAAACTAGAATGAAGATATATAATGCTTGAAATTCTATATTATACTCTTCAGTTTAATGGACCCCCCCTCTTAACCCTCATTTTCAATCTTATTTTTTTTAATTTGATATCGTTTTTGTTTCCGATTTAGGATTTTTTAAT